TTCTGGACTGAAACTGCATGAAAAGAAAGTCGGTCCACGAATCTGAATTTTCTTTTAGTCAAAGACCACCCAACAGCCAGACAGTCAGTCATAAGTGTAACTAACCAAACAGCGATATATAGCAACCCACATACATACCTGGACGGAGGAGTGAGTTGCAAAGCTAACAATGCGTCTGAAGAGCAGCACTTTCATCTCCTGACTTATTTATTCTGTACTTTCTCCGTCTCACCCGTTCCTTTCCTCTCTCTGACTTTAACCACGATGGAGCCTTCTTCTTCAAAGAGGGAAGGCTGTGGTTATGACAGGCAAAAGACGCTGTTAGCATATACACAACCAACCAATCTACATTCCCCGATTTTAATTTTAATGGTGCAGACCAGGTTCATTAGACTAATGCACTTCTCCCTCCAACCATCACCTCCACCTCCTCCGAACTTGTATATACACACCACTCTTGTAATCGGATTTTGCGGGAGGGTAAATATTTGCACGTTTAATTTCAGTATTCAATAAGAAGGAAAAATTCTATATGCATATTTGCGCGTATATCTACTAATAAATAGGGGTAAAAAAGTGTTAAAATACATTTTTCTCCCTCTGCTGCATTCATCACTCTGACCGGACTCTGGCAAATGTGAAATAACAAGAACAAACAGAAGAGGAAGGAAAATACGTATGAAATAAAAGCCTCGTCGAAAAGCTGTGGAAATCCACCACCGATACAAAAATGAGCTTAGAACACAACGACTCTTAGCTTTTCCAATCATCTCCCCCTCTTCTCCCCTCCGTTATGTGTACTCGCTCTTTCTCTTTACTTACCTAGGTCGGTGAGTACATGTAGCTAACTAACTAAGGAGGGGAGCTTGCGAGGTTGATAATAACAGATATTGGTGCCTTTGGATATGTGGTAGGGACCCATGAGTGTACTAAAACCCTGAAGTAGTTTGACTCCATGGCCACATTTGCGCCCGCCACACCCACTCAAAAATGTCCAAAAAACGCTTTCACCCCAGTTTTCACTCACTCAAATCCACGCCAAAAATCCAATTTTACTCGGATTTTGAAATTTCTTTCACCATTATACTCCCAGATAGTTGCTTTCTTCAATCCAATATCAAACTCAATTTTTTCGAAATTTTTAGTATTTTTAAAATTTAAAATTCTGAATGAGCATTGTTGTAGTCATCAACAAAACAAATTATGTTTGCGAAATAATCATCAATAAAATTTAGTTTGATATTGGATTGAAGAAAGCAACTATCTGGGAGTATAATGGTGAAAGAAATTTCAAAATCCGAGTAAAATTGGATTTTTGGCGTGGATTTGAGTGAGTGAAAACTGGGGTGAAAGCGTTTTTTGGACATTTTTGAGTGGGTGTGGCGGGCGCAAATGTGGCCATGGAGTCAAACTACTTCAGGGTTTTAGTACACTCATGGGTCCCTACCACATATCCAAAGGGCACCAAGATCTGTTATTATCAACCTCGCAAGCTCCCCTCCTAAGTTACCTCCATCCCCACCACTTCATTCTATCCACTGCGACCTCATCTCAAAAGAAATGTGAGATATGTGGCGTTGCGCTACCCAAATTTCAAGTCGGCATTCCCTGCAATTTCATGAATCGGACATGCAGGAGAAATTATTTGTTATCAACAACGAAAAATATTCTTACAATGCAGGTGTCCCAACTCTCTGATTTTGGCCAAATTAGTGCCAATCTATCACAAATTTAATTAGCATGAAATTTGCAAAAGACTCGATCTCCCAATCTTTAGGTTTTGCGAAGATATTTGCATCCAACGGGGAGAAAGCGCACCCTAAAGTTAAAAATTTTTGCACTTTCCAAATTTACTGCGCGTTTTCTCCCCTTCGGATGCAAATATCTCTTCCAAAGTCGTCATATTCGCTTCATTTTCATGAACTAATGCAGGAGAAATATCGAAAAATATTCTTGCTCTCTGTTTTACGATATCAAAATTACACATCCCTCCATCCATTCTTTCTTTCCTGTTATTATATTCATCTCTCAAAACAGTTGGGTGTTATCGAAGGGGAAACATATACGTTGAGGGGTAGCACCGCTCGCATCATTATCATCATCACATCAGGCCCTCCCGACGAAAAGATGCAGGTGAAGAGATTCCCACCGTGATAATAATGTTTCATGCCTCTCTAAACAAAATCATAATGGGGAAAATGAAATAAGAGACCGAAACAACAGCCCACCCACCCACAGGACCAATAAGTAAAGTAAAAGCAGACAAGAGGAAAACTAAAACAACAACAGTTGTTCTCTCAACTCTTGTTCTCCGTCCGCCAAGCCAACCAACCAACCGCAGGGACAAACTTTGATGAGAAATAGTGAATAAAGGGAGAAAGTGTCTCCCAAAATAATAAAATATGTGTATTTCGTGGTCTGGCCTGGCCATTCATATTGAGTAAGGAAACTCCATAAAAAAACTTGTAAATAAGGTGACAACGATTGACACAAGTTGTGACGAAATCTGACTCAACGCAAACTTTTTTATTATTATTATTATCCGAATCCACTGAATTGGAAGTTATGTATGTGCCAAGGGGAACTCGAAAATCCTAGCGTAACGACCCTCATTCACGGCCAAATTGCTCCTTTCACAACAAATGTGGGCACCATCCACCCAGTTGGTGCAAAACATGAAAATTTCCATCATAAATCCCACATGCCCTATTTTACTGCCATGATCAACTCTACGTATAGTGAACCCCTTCACACCCTTTGCTTTCTCCACAGTATTTCCTCCTTGTCCTCATTAACGTGTATGATTTTCCAGCCCACTGCACCCAACGGCTTTATTCTCAATTTTATGATTCGTAAAGTAAATTTAGACAATGATAAAGTGATGCTCATTAGCACGGGGCTGGAGCAACTTCCTAATATTATTTTCGTAATCCTTGCCCTACTTTTGTTATTTGTTAGGAAAGAGTTACCCAACTAAAACATGTCATTAAAATTTAACATTGTAATAATTCTGAGAATTTAAAGAGAACAATATTTTGAAATGTTGGAAAAATGTTCGGGATTAAACAGAGCTTTATTTAACACTCATGCATATAAATTGTGTATGTAGCTATGAACAAGATGGTAGATTTAGTTTTATGCATCTTCCAGTGAATCATATTTCATAACGCAAATCGTACCTACCAGAATGCAAAATTAGGATGAAACACATGGGCACGATTTTAGACAACGTGTACAATCAGTCATAAAAATAAGTCGGGCTTGTTTATGCACGTACAATGATAACAAATGTTTAAAACAATATTATTCTTATCCATTATAATTCCGTCTCAACTAAAAAGTCATCATTAAGATTTTTACGTCAGGTCCGACGTAACATACATAGTTCGACAAAATAATGTCCTTCGTCTAACGTAATTTTTTCGTGTCCTTCATCCCCGGCCATATTTTCTAGTCGATCGTCACTCGTGTCATGTTGTCCCTGCCGACAAACGTGAAAGACGAAATGCCTCTCATTATAACGCGTACTATTCTCGTTTGGCTATTGGATAGATAGGTTTAAATATGCTCTTCTCCTTTGCTTGCGCGATTGACTGATGGATGACGAACAAAAACAACGATTACGACATTCGACTGATATTGACTGATTGTAAAGTATTAATATCACGAAGACAGTGCAGTCGAGTGCATACAATTCTACGAGAGAAATGTCAATAATTTCATCCAGGATTATTTTCACTCTGTTGCACTACTACAATTGTTTGACTTAACATGCATCACGTTTTGACTAATATGTACGGCAAACAAATCAAGCAATCTACATATTTGGTCGGTGTTGTAGAAATGGTTGAAGTACATTCGTGTTTTTATCGAATGGAGACGATACTCGAAATTCACATCGATTTCTTACCATCCTTTCACCTTACCTATTCAATTTCATGCTTGAATCATACCAAAATAACAAGCTCCGCTTGTTTAGTTTCAATATACATGATGTACGCACGTGGCTATATATACATATGCACATTATAGTTTTTCCAACATTGGCATAACTGGCATATATTTTCAAATACAACGCAACGATGTATTTGTGAAATTGAAAAGGATAACCGCAATACAACCACACAAGTCCCTCGCCAAATACCACGCACACAATCGTGCCCAAAAATGTAGCCCGACTCATGAAACATTTCACATCTATCCATCTTCCAACTCACATTTGTATCGCACCAACCCAGGTGAAAGTCAAGTGGCAAGCAGTCCAGAAAGTAGGCCAAATCATAGATCACGGGAGAATCCAGCTGAAAAATCGGTGCCGAGCACTTTCCTCCCTGCCGAGCCACACCACAACCTTTTAAAGCGACATCACGCTTTCCAAGGGATTCAACTAGCTGAGAGTACTCCGCATTTAAATCGGAACCGGAACATAGCGTGTGAGCTCTATCCATGCCGTAATCTTGAAACGGATGGATCGTGATACTGTAAATCCAGCCGAGGTAAAAAATAATGGGGCGAAAGCCACTCTCTCTGCCCAAGAATATGACAAGATATATATTATCCTTGCTTCCTTTCCCATATGCTCCTTGCCTTCTTAACTCTCTACATCCCTCCAATATACATACGTTCCATATTTTCCGTGCCCATAACCATTTCAATATTGGGCTCGAGTAAGGTGGTGAAAGTGGGAAAATTCCTCTTTTTTCGGATGAGGATCGCTTGGATGGATCTGGGAGTTGGGATCTGTGATGAAACTCCTCCCCCGAAACCCACCCCGCACTCAGGGACTGAATCTGAAAGGAGTGACACGAACTTGCGCCGACGGAGGAAGGAAGTTACCCGGGTAGAAGGCGACTTTCCCCACCTTCAACTTCACCCTGCCTCTGCCTCTCTCCCGGCTGAATGTGGATCAATCCAGTCCATATACTTTTTCAGGCACGGGTTCCAACCGACGGTACTGCCCCATACATACCTTGGATATATATTTATACCACTTTTCTCCCAGTATATAGTTAGTTTAGTTTAATGGACACGTTTACATTGCACGACCACCTCGCCCAAAAAATTTTACACCCGCTATACACGTAGTGAGAAGGTACCTACTCCAGGCCACGCTGGTTTTCCGTGTATCTGACTGCAGCAGTGGAAAATATGTGGTGGTGCAGTACCCAAAGGGAAAGACCCACCCTGCTTTCCCTGCCGCCCTGGCTGGGTTCCCGTCGTCTACTACTTCAGTATGTGTATGGTTAAGTGGTAGTATGTATTGAGAATTGAGAATTGGCTACTGGTCTGGCTATTCTCGATCGTCTCATACTGTACATATTTCTGTTACTCTTGTCTTGTAATTAATTATCTTACATTTATAATTGTACGCTACTCGTTTTAAATTCGGCTCGGGTTCCGCTGTATATAAATCGGTTTAAAGGAATGAGCTACCGAGAGGATTAAGGTGTTAGTAAAATAAAAAATAAGGAGGAAGAAGTAGGACGACGTAAAGTGAGATCCCCTTAAATATATATATACTTTCACCCTGCTGGAATTTATTTACAATTAATTATACACAATTACGGAAAAATAATATACATAAAACTGCAAACCACTAATCATCGGATAAGTAAAGATAAGCAAATTAAATATAAATGTGAGGAAGTAATCAAATTTAATATATATCTAAACTCGAGTAAATATATACATATGAAGGTTACGTAATTGTGGGAGAGGATTATGCATACATATCGAAACTGAATATACTGCTACATATCAACTCAATTGGGACTGAATCAAAGGATTAAGTTTCGTACGGAATTTTTCTGTGATCTAAACAAAGCAATCTGATAATCGAATACTACAAATTGCGGCAACGTCATTAACTCTTGAGAATTATAACTTTTTCTTGTGGTGCATATCCTAAAATCCATCAAAATTTCTCGCTTCGTCCAAACAAATTTGGGGGGAATCCGGGATTACTTGCAGAACCGGGTTGGGCCTTACATCTCGGGTAAGTCATGTACCTTTCTTTTCTGCTGTAGATTTAGGAAGGCTTTTGCTTCTGCTTGATAAGAATGCAAGCTTATAATTAAGGTTGTCTGCTGGATCATACATAAATAATTATCCATAATTGCTTAAATAGCATCATTCTTAAAGAGAAACTGGGGACATGGAGAAATTAGAAAGTGAGATTTCTCATTTCTCCTCAACTCAAACTGGAATCTGAAAAATCTCACGTCACGTCAATCTCACATCATGCATTTTTTCTTGAAACCATTTTCATACGAAATTTAGGAAACAGTCAACCCTTTCCCCTGTCACAATTCCATGAGGGCCTTATTTTTTACATGCTTAAAAAATAAGCCAATTCTCTCCACTTTTGTGGGATGATTGTTGTACATGTATTTGGGGTTAGGTACATAAATCGTGATTTATTGTGATGTAAGGGGATTAAATATGGTCAGTTACCTTTGGAATCTGATCTTGTCAGATTTTCTGCTCTCTTGAACGTTTCTTTTGCCGTATGGTGGTCAAAATAGTGACTTAAAAATTTATACAAATTGGAACAAGAGGAATGACTGCTAGTCATTCACCAGTTTAAAAATACTAATATCCTGTATCTCTGAAAATGGGAATTGTTTAAAATGATAAATCTCATAGTGCTACATAACGAGACAAGTCCAATACTTTTACATAAGACCAGAATTCTAATTTCTCAGAAGAGTACCATTTCACATCTTTCCTCGTACATAGAGGACGATTTCCAATCTAGAACACAGCAGGGGAGCAAATGAATGCTTGTGACATAACAATATTTGATCTCGAACAAAAATTCTCAACTTCATTTGAGTTGATCCACCTCCAACTTTTATACACATTTACAAAATCTGCGAGTGAAGGTCGTTTTACGTCAGATGATATAACTCTTAATGTACATATGTTCAACCATATTTCACTGCATTAAGGCATCCAAAAAGTACATTTGTTACAATACAGAAGTTACTCGTTGAAAGAGTGACTCAACAAAATCTTATTATCTTTTTCGATTTGTACAAAAAAAAGTAATTTCATCCCTGGCGAGAACTGAGTTTGTTTGTAATTTGGAAAATGAAAGGAAAACAGGCCTAATTTGTCTAGGGAAAGGAGAATATTGCGTAACAATTTATTTTCACCCACGTCCAATCGATTCCAGTCCCAATTATTACTCCAGAACATGCCTGTGTTAGGAAAAATATCGTAAAAATTCTGGAAAAAAATTGAATTACAGTTTCCCGACAATGTAATGTCAAGTGTCCTTGTAGTCATTTAAGTTTGTGCAGGAGGGAATGAGTGTAAGGGGAAAATATAAACTAGGGTCGAGCCGGGGTGTGCAAAATGAATCTATTCTTCTCATCCTGGCTCCTCGTCCATTGGGACCTTCCGTAGTTTTCATGTCAATGATGTTTTGAATTAGTTATGAACTCTCATCGATTTTGTGCATCCAACGAAGCTTAAGGGCTTTGCACTTTGTTTGCGTTTGACATCATTCTTCTCATCGTCCCAAAGCATACATAACAGACAAAAGCGGGCATGGCTGGAATACAAAATTGCTCTATGTAGATGAGAAGAAGAAAATGGCGTTATTTTTGGCCAAGATAAGTACGAACACGAAACCCCGATCCGTCAAACCTTCTCAGTAGATATGCCTACTAAATAATTTATGTAGAACTTATGAAACATAGCCATTCAAATTTCTTGGTAGGTACATACGTAAGTGAAGAAAAGTAGTGTTATTATTGGGTTTATATGTACATACATAACTAGAATTTCTGTACACTCGATTGCCACCTTGTCCTTCAGAAAATTGAGAAAACTTCATTTATTTACTTACACCTTAAAATACTTCCTGGATCGCATACATAATTTCTGATTTCTACTCACTTTCTCCATTGTCCTTTCATCTTGCAGTTTTGCACTTTCTCACTTAATTTCCATCCATTTTCTACTCCCACCAGTCCCTCGTTGCTCCAGGAAGGAAGGATATATTAAACCTAAAACCACAGGATACCGCCGTCGTCCATGGCAAGACCGCAAGCATGTAAAGTAGACGATAGAACAAAGATGAGGGGGAGATTCTATGCATTTTATTTATTGCCAACCGGAATTGCATTAGCTAATCCCCCGATGAGTGGGCCACTTTTGCTCTGTACACCCCAAGTATCCCACATTTAAAGAAGATCTCTTATGAAGGGTGAGAATTCCTTTGTAATGGGAGTGATAATTTCGACGACAAAAGAGTTTCCAGCATAATAATAAACCGTTACAACGCATGTAACCAAGGGGTGAAAGGAGTGTCATACGTCAATGTGAATATCAAATTGTTCGAAAATTTGTTAAGATTGACACTTCTGACGTGTTTTCGACTTTTGTGTCTTATTTGTGTCAAATTTAACAGTTGATAACCCTTATGTGACCTTTATATGACCTCTGAGGTCAAAATGGAGGTCACCATTGAATTCGGGGTTAAATTTCAGTTGAAATTGAAATAGATATGTCCTATGACCTTTACATGACCTCTGAGGTCAAAATGGAGGTCACCATTGAATTTGACATTGAAAAATAGTTAAAAATGACGTGTCACATGTCAAAACTGACAAGTGACACTTTTTCGTCACTTTTCGTCACCGTGACGATGTCATCGTCACAGGTGACGTCCAAACACAAAATGACATGAATTTTCGAATTCCTCATTGAAAAATAGTTAAAAATGATGGGTCACATGTCAAAACTGACAAGGGACACTTTTTCGTCACTTTTCGTCACTTTGATGACGTCATCGTCACAGGTGACGATGTCAAAGTGTCCATCTTCGAACTTGTCCTGTCCTTTGACGTTAGGAGTTAACGTTCAAAATTTCAAGTCTCTATGTCTTTCCGTTCAAAAGTTATCGGAGCTACGGACAGACAGACAGACAGACAGACAGACAGACAGACAGACGGACGGACATAACGATCTTATAAAGGGCTTTCACCCCTTAATAAGCAATACATATTCCAATTTCAAAGCGCGTGTGTCACCTGAGATCACCGAGTGAAATGCTAAAATAGTGACAGGTTTCTGGTTCCGTGATGCATCCCGTGATCCGAATTGACATGACGGATACGGGATCGGATAGATTTACGCACCCTTAACTTGGACTTTGACAGAGAGAGACACAGACACTGATGCAATGATACAGATTCAAATCCAGGGGGTATTTATGCTATGCAAATGTAAGCAAAGTCGTCACTGAGCTGGCTTAGCAGTGTTCCCTCAAAACTTTCTCCTGTCGTTTCAAACATACCAAACCCCAAGCCGCCTTTACTTTACGTACGTCGTGTGTGAGTTTAGAAGTGTTGGTTGCATGGACGAATGAAGATGTGACTGATATCCGACTGGGGAATTTGCATAGCAATAAGTCTCCGATCTCGGTGGGAATTCGGATGGATTTTGCATCTAAATCATGAGAGTTTTGACATTTGGCCTGGAGAAAAAAAGTCTGTAAATAATATCAAAAAATGCATAAAATGATCGTCATATAATATAAAATTCGAGTGGAAATTATTCCCTTATTTTCCAAATAATTTTTGGTTTTCTAGCGTTTTTCGCATTAAAAATATAAACCAACTGATGCAGCTCTCAAGGAGAGAAAGCTGGTACACGTCCCTCTTCAACTTTACGACTTTATATATAGCCGCACTTTATAGTTATGGAGGAGGAGGCGTGAGTGAGCCCCGTTTGTTGTATGATCCCTCCAAAAGCGTACCTACTTTTCTTCATCCTTCTCCTTATCCTCTGGCAAGCCCCGGCTTCAAGAAAGCGTAAAAGGAGCCGAAGAAGCATTGGGTAATAAGCCAAGTAAACATTTCAAGTGAAACTGAATTTTCACATCACAAGACAAGACTGAACATAAAACTGGAGAGAAAGAGGGATAAGATGTGCAACGTACGTAAATGGTGCATGGTGTACGTAGGGTGGCTGTCTTTTTAAGACAAACACAAGATCAAACATAACTTGATGTCTTTCCCTCTGTTTGCCGAGATGAAGGGAAAACAAGGCAAAGTGTCGTGGTTATGTGTGTTGTACTTATCCGAGGAGTGTGTGTATCCACCAAATTATGTCAAAATATCCTAAAGCAGCTTTCATTCTGAATTGTATTAAGTTTCTTCTTACTTTTGGTGAATATGAATTTTTTGAACCCGTTTGAAGAAGAAAAAAATTCCAATTTGCGAGACTCACCTTGAATCTTGATGTGAAATTGGGCAGAGAGAGTTGTCCGTGTGGGTGTGGGGGGTGAGGATGGATGAGGAGCAGAGAAGAGATGAGCGAGAGGAGGGAGAAGTCCTTGGGGAAAGGTAGACCAAAGTGAAAGTGGCAGTTAGGAGGCTGCCGTTAGGACAGAAATGCCATGAAAAAAAGAAGAAAGGAAAAATCCATGGCACAAAACCTAATGTGCTTCCTTTTCCCATTGTGCTGGCTGCTCCCCATATAATAAATGTTGCATTACAGTCAAAATCAACCGTTGTTCACATCTCCGACGACCGGCTAGAAAGAGAGAGAAATGATACCGTGGAAGGAAAGTGGAAGTTGGTGTGGGGGTAATAATGCTAGATTGGAGATTGCAAACGACAAACATATGTAAGATCGCGTTAAGTCAGTCACATGGAATGCATTTTTCATTCGAAAAGAGTCAGAGAATTGTTGGGCGTGCTTAAACTAAGAATTTTTAAAATGTATTGATTTGTACTTTATTTGATAGGTGTCATTTATAGAATTTCTGAATGCGAATCAATTTTCATTGCAACTTTGTGCAATTTGCAGGGTTTATTTAGTCCAAATCAAGGTCAGAGACACCCGCTAAACGTGGGGTCATTAGAAGTCATTAGAGCTCTGTGTGCCAAATTTCAGTTTCTGGCACTATTTTGAAATTTTGGTGCAGAATACTCCACCCATTTATATGACCTCCACCGGTCAACGACTTGACCGATTTGG